CACACACACACACACACACACTCACACACACACACATACACACACACACACACACACACACACCTACCATTTCACACATATACTTACAGGTGAAAGCAGATGGTAAGTGTGTCATATACAAGACTCATATACTTATGTGGGAATCCTGTTTTGACGATGTTTCCTTGTTCCTCTTTCAGTATTGAGACTCAACGTCAAGGCCTGGTGTTCATCTATGACATGACAGAATCGAAATATGCCAACTTTGACTATGACCTTAGTATTAAAATCCTCAATTTGTTAAAAGTAAGACTTTATATTTTGTTTTTATGCACAGAGTATTTATTTCTTCATTAATGTCTTTTTCATACCATAATGTCAAATTGTATTGTTTAATTAACATTTTTTTTCATAATGGAAGTAAGCTTATGAAGATATGGAGAAAATTTTTAAAATATATTGTTCGCCAGACAAAAGCCGTATTTGAAACTTACTTTTTCAGACGTTTTCTGGTTTTCACAATGTTTTTTTTTTAATAAGGTTTTTTTTTTGTGCCTGACCGTAGCATAACATTGATTTAAATAGATAGAGCATTGTCTACTGGTCATATCTGTTAGGTAAATTTCATATTGTATTATTAAGAATTCACTTCTAAATAAGGACACCTTTCCTGATAGATGCCAGTGGAAATTGATTTTCAAATGAATTGATTGTAATTTTATTTACCAGAATTGCCATCTCATATCATGAAGAATTTGCTTCATCGTAATCATTGCCATGCTAAATATTTTTTAAAAAATCATGAGTGAACTTTTTAAAATGTGTATTTTCTCCCTTTTGCCCACCACAACAGGGTGCCTACCCAGCGCGGCTGAAGAGAGTTCTCATTGTTACTGCTCCTTTGTGGTTCAAAGCTCCGTTCAAGATCCTCAGGTTATTTGTGAAGGAAAAGCTCAGAGACCGGGTAGGTGTCCACAAAGCAATCAAATCCTCAAGCTTTTGGTTACCTATTGCCGTACCAGTAATCAAAGAGTCCCAGCTATCTACTGCACGGCGCACCGGCAGTGGAATTTTAGTTACAGCGGGGGGGGGGGGGTGTTCCTCGCCGAGCCCCTTATCACAGGGTCAGGGGGGGTCAGCTCCCTGTCACCGCTCTGTCTGGGCTGACTTAATTTTTGGTACTCTTCAACAGACAATTTAGGTGTATCCTTGTATTTATGGTAATTATCTTTTAATACACCCTGCTCTTGAGACTCAAAAAAGAACGGACATTGTAACTTGTCTGGTTATTTCGTTAGACACGCTGAAGTCAGCAATGCTAAATTGTAAAATTTTTTGGAGAAGTGTGAATGGAAGAAAAAATCAATATAAAAAGATACGGCACGACAAAAACTGTTGAGTTTTTGGAACATGTACTACATAATATTGGTGCAGGTATTTAGAAAATATGGTATCTGCGCATATAATAGAATGCTGTAATTTTACAACTTTATCCATCTGGCACACAATTCGCTTTGAAGTAATTCCTCCAAATATGAGGGCTGTCCCACGGAAAACCGGAAAAGGTCCATAAAAGCAACAATCTTTGTCCTATTATAATAAAAATGTAACACATCATACCTCAACATGTGCTTTATTTCTCAATGTAATCACCATCCTCCTGGACGGATTTCCCCCATCGCTGGATCAGAGAGAAGATACCCTCCCTGAAGAATTTTAAGTTAAGGGATTTCAATCAATCTTTCACGACTTCCACGAGGTCTTCGTCGTCAGTGAATCGCTGTCCAGAAATATGGCGTTTCATTGGTCCATAAATGGGATAATCTGACGCGGCCAAGTCAGGACTGTGAGGGGGGTGTGGCATAACTTCCCAGCCGAACCTTTGGATCCAGTCTTTTGTAGCGTTTGCGGTGTGTGGCGTTCCGTTGTGACCCCGCTGGACAACCGGCCTTGTCTTTTTCGGCGCACAACCTCTCTCAACTTATCAAGAATCTGGCAGTATCTGTTAGCATTATCAGTTTGTCCTGGTTCCAGAATGTCAAGAAGCAGAACACCCTTAGCATCGCAGAAAACCGTGGCCTTGAGTTTCTTCACAGATGGCTGAACTTTAAACTTTTTCGGGGGAGGTGAAGATGTGTTCTTCCAAACCATTGAATCCCTCTTCATCTCAGGGGTCATGTGGTGTATCCAAGTCTTATCACCTGTAATAATGCTTCTCAGGAATGCTTCATCGTATTGTTGAAGGTCTCCAGATGCGTTCATGACTCTCCTGACAGCTTGGCGACAACGGTTCAACAAAGTCTGAGACTCTTCAACATGTTGCGTCTTATGGTCAGCTGTCAGCTCTCTTGGGACCCATAAAGCAGAGACCTTTCGATAGTGCAGCTCATCAAACACTATCCTATGGACAGTTGATTTTTAAATGTCTAGCGAATCGGAAATTTAGCAAATTTTTAGGTGCCTGTCTGTTAGAATGAGTTCGTTAACGCGACTCTTGTTGTCCTGTTTTGGCAGAAAAACAAGGTCCTTGGTGAACTTTGTCATTGACATACGTATGCCCGGCTTTGAAATTAATACACCACTCATATACCTGTGACTTTGCCATTACTTTCTCCTCGTAAACTGACTTTATTTCAGTGTGTATTTCTATAGGTTTGAGACCTTTTGTGGTCAGAAACCGAATAACAGACCTCACTTCTACCTTTGACCAATTTTCCAAGGGGGTAGCCATCTTTGTAGAACTGCTGTGTTCGTTTGGTTTGTGCGATGTTCATGGTGCTCAATCGGGAAATTCTTAAATGATTGTTTTACAAGTGTGAGTTTACAGAATGTGAAAATATTTAATAGTTTTCAAATTACAGCCAAATTCCGGTTTTCCGTGGGACAGCCCTCGTACAACTTAATGTGTCTAAAATAATCGTGAATATTCGCATATTTTCTCGAATGTTTATAGAAATTACCCTGAAGTCTCTCTATGTAAAAGTACAAATCTGTTTTAGTGCCATAATACAGAATACATCAACAATGTAATACACGAACAGTATCCGTTACACTCCAGAAATTCCTTACTTTTCTTAAAACACTAAGTCTAGGTTTTGTAAGTTGACTGAATAACAGGGATGACTTCTCGTAATCGGATTATAAGAATAATTTCTAGCTTTTCAGTGACACTGAATCAGCACCAGACTTTTCCAGCTTTTATTTTCGTTTTTATAACCATTTGCAATAACTGACAATGTTCTGATTTCTTTACATTCATTAGTGTCTGCGCATTTTCCGACACAAAAACTAAGAATGAATGTGTTAGCTGTAATTATTTTTTATTCCATACAAGAAGTTAATCTCTACCCATGTATTTACACAGTTTTGTGTTTTATTGAAAATCACATAATATATCTTTCTTAGTTGTACACAGTTTGCCTCAGACACAGCATGATTCATGAGCAAACGCAGAGTAACTTCCTCTTGTTTAATGGTAAAACAAGAGCTAACGCTGAATGCCTTTATTTAAGAAATGCAGATGTGCCATCTTTTTTCTCTTATAATTTGACTATTACTACTAGCGCAAATTTAAGATTTCTCATGATATTTTCGCAGTCAATGTAACTGAGATTTTGGAGAGATCTGTCGTGCCGTTTTTTAATAAACAATCATTTATTCTTAAATTTGTAACTAAAATAGGACAAATTGGGTAATCTACAAACACTTGTCTAGAACAAAAACTAAGGCACAGAAATTAACCATTGTAATGCAGAATAAATCTCAAGACATTGAGCTTTTAGTACATCAGTGCAATGGTTTACTGTGTGGGATGAGGAAGAATTTATATCACTTCAAATGTAGACAAAAATGCGAACTTCTTAACCGACACTGGCAAAGTTGCTTCAGGGCTCATTATCCCCGTGACTCCGAGCCGGGGAGCTCCGGTTGGCTGCTAAGTCACGTTAACAAAAAGTATCAGAATCTAGCGAAAAGTGATGCCGTGACTGTGTTCATGAAAAACCTTCAGCCACAATATATGCAAATCAGGTTATTTTTATTTCAACAATTTAAACAGTAATCATATGTGCATATTGCCATTAGTCAGCATTGTTTGGGCTGTTTTTGTACATGTCAAGATAAGTGCAGGTATGCAATGGTTTGTCAGATATTTAGACGCCAGTTTTCTTGTCTGAAAATTTGGGGCTTTGTGTATACACAGAAATATGCACTAAAAGAATGACAGAAAAAAGATCTCTGAAATATGGGTGGTATTTAAAATAATATGTTTTTGATATGAAAAGTTTTATTTAGTGATCATTTATGTCAGTTTCAATGCAGTAAAACTATTTTAGTTCATTGACACGTGGCCATGTTTTTAACTCATTCGCTACGTATTATTTTCAGCTTGTGGACGAATTCTTTTCGGGAGGGCGAAATGAGATGATGACTAGTGCGCAGTTCACAGGTCTTTGGGGCCATACATTCAAATAAATATCAACATATTACATACCAACATTTTCAGTATGGATTGTAGAATACATCTGCATTATTTATTTGCGTATTTTTCAACTTTGGTTCCTGTAAGAGGCGGTTATGCAACACAATTGTGATCGGATGCGGATAAAATTGGAAAATAAATTTATAATCTAAGCTAAAAAAATATGTTTGCTCCTAGTCAAACGATACTTCAAAATAACCATAATTGTATATAGAACGGGAAAATATTGAAAAATGTGCAGTTATTTACATACATTCCATAATATTTGTACATTTGGATCATAATATCCGATATTGAAAAAAAAATTTCTTAAAATAATTTTGAAAAAAGGATCACAAACAGAAAAAAATATGCGTATCTTATATGGAATTATTCATAATTGCATTTGGAATAAACCTATACATGTCTTGAGTGGTACTTTTGGAGTAATTTCACCAAAAAGTAGTGATTTTGGGGAGACAAAAATTTTTTGACTATTTAGATCAAGGCCTAGATCTAGCACTCAAAAATATTGATTTCTCAATTACAGTGCACCGGCAATTTGCGTCCAATAGTATCAATACTATAAAGAAGAGTCCTGAGCAAAATAATGATACATTTTGTTGTGTAAAAGTACTAAGACTGGTGTCTGGGCTATAATTTGGGCTTCGCGATAAAACAAAGTGGAATAAACTACGAAATCGTGTTTCAAAACTGAATCAAAACTTCCGATTTTCGGCGGAATCCCTTGACCCGGAAGTCAACATTATATTATGACCTTTATTTTAACATGGATATGTGGATTGGAATAGAAACCAAGCTAAAATTGAACGTCGGTTCTCGAGCCGCCGGGGGCAGCTTAGCGTACTGACGGCACTTGAGCCGCGCCGCCCTCCACGGCTCGGCGTAGCGAATGAGTTAAAGTTACCATCTATTGAATTCTCTCTTATACTGTAAATAGTGCCGCAGATAATTTTATTTTCTCATGCTTCTTCATTTGCACTCTGCCAACCCCTTTCCACAGGTTTACACAGTGAGTGTGTCAGAGCTGATCACCTACGTGCCAAAAGACACGCTGCCTATTCAGCTGGGTGGCACACAGGTCCCATGCCATCAGGTCTGGCTACAGCTGTGTTTTCAGTGTGCCACCAACCAGCAGCCTGACCCCTGTATCTACTTCATCTCACGTCTCTCAGGGCCTGGGGCCAACCGTGGTTCTATCTCACGTAGCATCTCCACCGACACTGACAATCACATCAGTGATTTTGACTCTGAAAGCTCTAAAGACACTGTGAACGAGAAGCACACAAACGAAGATAGAGAGAAGGAAAAAGAAGACGACATGGAGGAGGAAAGTGGTAAACCGGATAGCACTACTGTGGTGTCAAAGGAGAGAGAGGGACAGAAGGTGGGGAACAGGAAACGCAAAACATCGGAATCTCGTAAACACAGCTCGGACTTGTCCACTGTGAATGAAGCCCCTCCAGAAACTTTGTCAGAGGAAATGCCTCGCAAGAAGCGCCCACCTTCCTCTGGCTCAAACATTCTGGATGATTCTATCCACATGCCAGACACTAATGGCATGACCGTGCAAGAACTGCTGAACAAAGTGAACTCTCTTAAGCGCAAGGGTTTGGTCGGAGAGTATGGGTCTATTAAGATGGAAGCCCCAACTGGAACGTTTACCACATCTAAGTGAGTATTCAATTTGACTTACATCGTAACCATCAGGTGGGTCTTGGTTATTTTTTCCTCCCCTTAGAATTTACCTTCTGTACCACGACATTGTATAAATATTACGTGTGGATGGTTGGCTGGTTGCAATGGTGTGGTTTGCTCTTTCTTTTCTATCAAACATCTGTCGTTCTTATCTCTCCTCCACCTTTTTTTTTTGTATGTTACTATCTAGTAACACTTTTTATCTTCAGCATTATATTACCAAATTGTGTTGCAAGTGAGTAAAACACTAACGAAAACTAAACTGAGACATTGCTTGTCGAGAAAGAAGCAGGAAGGTAACCATATTTACTTTAAAAATCAAAAGTCACATTCAGCTTGTGCAGTCTATCAAAACAAAAGTTCTTTTTCTCATCACAGTCATTGGTGAGCCAATTGACTCATTGAGTCATTGGTGACGAATTGTGTACTCTGGTCTTTTTCATTCTGAAAAAAATTCTCAAGTGCCAGTTCTTAGACTAATTTGTTACTGATGTCGAAGTTCAGCTTAAACCAATGAGAATTGAATTCTGCAAGGTGTCATGAGGATGCTGCTGATGTCCTACTTCTCCTCTTTAGTTTTTATCTGTCTTTTTTTTTTCCGTGCTTGATATGACCATTATTATGTGGATGTGCTTCACTTTACTGAAACTCAAATTTGTCATTTCTAACTTACCGGAATCCCCGTTTTTTGTCTATGTAAACGCAATTAATTATGCTCGGGTTTAACTGGGCAAGGAAAGGCCCGAACTTGGATACAGCGGGAGAGATCGAGAGGGAAGGGGATTGGGGGGTGGGGGTGGAGGGCTGCAAGTGGGCTCCAAACAGGCAGTCAGCGGTGCTGCATTGTGATTGGACAGTCCAGTGATGAGTGAGTTAGTACAGAGAGAGATGGTGCGGAGAGATGCGTTACACGAGGCACTCCACAAGTGATGTGTCAAAGCCTTACACCTAGGCCAGATCAAAAAGATAGTAAGAGAAGAGGAGAGCGTGTAGTGTGTGATTTTTTGGTAATTTCCCTTTGCATTCCTCTTGTTTGAACTTGCCTACAGTTATTTTTTTTTCAAGAACTAATAGTCCTGCTATAGCCATATTCTCCTGTATATTGTATATGCTTGTGAACGTGTAATGAGAAATGTCACTGTGTACTGGCATTTGTAGTGTAGTAGTTAGGTGCTTTTCTCTTGCACATAGGAGACACAAGTTTGATTCTTGTGTGGGAGGAATTTTTGTTGAGTATCTTTATCTTTCTGCCCGGACATTTTATCCCTCTCAACCCCGATTGGCCCTGACTGGCAGAGTCTAAGCAGTCTGCCTTATAAATTATGTAAAAGTGTTTATGGTTATGTCAAACTTCTCCGCTTACATTTACATTTGTGTCTGTGTGCTTGTGAAACTTTGGGAGGTATTTCAATATCTCAGAAAAGTGTCACTTGTAGTCAATACAATTTTTCTATCTTAGTACCATGTAGCTCATTTTATACAGTGGTGAGTGCTAATGATTTTCATGTATGTATCTCTCTTATGTTTCAAAGGTTGAAAGCTAATCTACCAAAGAACAGATACACAGATGTTCTCTGCTATGACCACAGTCGTGTGACCTTGCCATTGATAGATGATGACCCCACCTCGGACTACATCAATGCCAATTTTGTGGATGGCTACATGCAGAAGAATGCTTTTATTTCCACTCAAGGTTGCCAAGCTTTGAACCTTGTTTTGTTAAGGGGGGGGGGGGGGGGGGGGTTAGATTAGTTGTTTTGAGTTTTTACACATTCATGAAGACAAAGACCCTGAGATGAAACAATTTTGGCCTTTTACTATGTTCCATATACAGCCTTGAGGCATGAAAAGTACAAACGTAATGCAAGTTTTAGGAAGAGTAGCAAATAATATCCATTACTCTATTTAGTGGAATGGCAGAATTGCACGACTGTCCCAGAACCAAACTTGTAATTAGGTACCACAAACTGAAATTTGAAAGTCCTTTGATTTCATAGTTAACTGCACCACCTTATAGAATTTATTATTCTTAACATTTTGATACCAAATTTATACCTATAGCTTCATTTTTAACAAAGTTATGAACGTCTGAAGTTGAAGAAAAATGCTATATTTTTTAAATTGCGAAATGTCTGCACTTTGAGATGTCACAACATTCTTAAATTTGAATGGACATTCACAAAAACTTGTAAACACACACCCATGCACATAGAGAACAAGCCCCATTTTTTTTCAGCGCTATCAAATAACCAGAAGATGGAAAGTTATTGACTTAAACATGGCTTTTTGACTAAAATGGCAAGAAATACAAGGGGAGGTTAAAATCACCACTCGCGACCACCGGCTTATCGGCTGCGCACCGGGCCGCGCTGATGGGAATGAGAAAGAATTATACGAAACGGGGGCGATGGTGCCCTGCTTGCGAGCCGATGGGGAGCATCCGGTATTTATTTGCGTATAATGGCTGTGTTATTCTTGAAGAGTAATGAATGGGCTTTCTGCCGATATATTTCCGTTGTCAATCCGATCACTGGTTCCATAAAAAAAATAGCATTGAATGTTTTTACACGCAAATCTCTTCTATTAATTCCTTAAGGACAGTCTTTAGAAATATATCGCCGGAAAGAGCGTTTTCTCATCTTGAAATATCGACGAATGAGATTGCAGTATTTAATACCAAACCCTCCCTGTTCCTGTTCAACTGAGGTCGCTCTAAAAATCAATGCACGAAACATGCGGCCACTGCGGTGAAAACCTCGATAGTGTTGTCTTTTATCCCACAAGAATTTGCTGTCAATAGAATCGTTGATTCAAATAAATAATACCTCTAAAAAGAGGAAAAGCTCCTCTTTCTTCTGATATATCAAGTGTCTGTGTGTATGCATGATCACACAGTGTTTTAGGAGGGTAAAAATATGGGTTTTGGTCTCCGTGACAGTGCGTCACGGGGGCGCTCGGCCAGTTTGCGGTACCTACTTGTAATTGGCCTCACCATCTGACGCAATAAGTCTTAGTTTAAGGTATAGATAGAGCTGTAACTGGCCATGGGCCTCAGCTGATGTACATTTTGGCTTGAGTCTGGAGAAGCACACAACAGTCTTGAATAATTTTTACTATATAATCTCCGATCAATTCTTGAACTCTGTGATGATCACAGACTACCATCAGAAATGTCATTACTCCTGTACTTCAGTGTTGCTAAAAAAGAGTAACTAGATTTTAGTATCATGAGTAGAGTAGATTGACAGAAAATTATACCTAGAAGGAATACAGTTAAAATAGTTTGAAAAAGTAGCATGAGCATAATTTTATGAGCCTCTTTGGAAAAAATGTATTTTATGCCTTGTACTAACAGAGACATAAATATCCTCTTCTATACTCTGTTTCATTATCAATTCATTCTGATTATTAATTTACATATCTATGTAATGCTGTACCCTAGACTCCTTTCCCTCTCTTGAAAAGGTTGACATTTTTTGTTTCTGTTAAATTTTCCATCGTTCAATCCGTCATTTTGTTGCTGTTGATGTTGTCAGAGTGTTGATTCCAATGTGGGTTACCTCCAGTAATTTTAGTTCATCAGAGTGTTTTCGGATGAATGTTATGTAGAAATTTAGACAGTTCTGCTGTTTGTTGTTTGTAAAAAAATGTTCAGTATTGTGACCTTTACTTCTCCTCATGCAGGCCCCCTACCAAAAACATTTGTGGACTTCTGGCGGATGGTGTGGCACAATCAGACCAAGGTCATCGTCATGACTACCAAGTAAGATGACTGGGACTAGGAGAGACTGGGGTGAAAGTTTCTGTGTCGGTTATTTGAAAATTGCAGGCGTCTTTCCCTCCCATTATTATTATTTTAACAGGGACTGATCACGTATCCTGGAGGCTATAGTTATAGGTCTATCAGGTTTGATCAGTGACAAAAGGACTTCCCTTGGGAGACAATAATAGTTGGTTATTTTTAGAGACTCCACGTCCTTTCACGTATATCAAGGGGGATTTATAATATATCGGCCATGCAGAATGCTTTATTTAAAAGAATAACAAAGTCGTGTGAGCAGAGCATGAGAGAAGAGAAGAATGGAATATTTGAAAGTATTAACTGTCTTATTATATAAATAGAAAAACTAAGAAAAACCAACCATATTGAAGTATTAACAGTGTCAGGTGATATTTTAACAACACAATAGTAAAAATAATGACTTTGTGTATTTACAGGACCATAGAGAGGTCGCGAATGAAGTGTGGCCAGTACTGGCCCAATGAGGAGGAGGCAGATGAACAGTTCGAGGAGTTCATTGTCTACAACAACGGAATGTCGCAGAACAAGGACTTTATCGAGACGGTCCTCATGCTTCATAACACGAACGTGAGTCTTGCTGATGTTGGCGTTTCAGCTGCGTTCTGTTGTTAATTTATGTGAAATGCCTTACCAGGTGGTAATTGGTCGTGTCAAAGAGCCCTTGTGTCAGCAGTTTGAATAGAAGAAAGAAAAAACGACATCCACAGTGCCCCCTCTTTCCTCCCCTAAGGTATAAAGGGAAAGATGAAAGTATCAGCTGTCCTCTGGGGAGGCTTCAGTCTCAAACTGTGCATTGTGTCTCTGATTCAAATAACAATTTTTTTTGCATCACTATCCTCGTTGTGTTTTCCTTCTCAGAGTGGAGAGTCCCGTCAGATCTCTCACTTGCAGTTCATCAGCTGGCCTGACTATGGTGTGCCTCCTGCCGCTCCGTTTCTTGACTTTCTGTTCCGAGTGAGAAGCATCCAGGAGAAGGCTACCAAAGATATGGCCTCGGACTGGACCGGCCACCCTCTTGGTCCTCCCATTATTGTCCACTGCAGTGCCGGTATTGGCCGCACAGGTTAGTTTCATAAAAGACTGACAACTTCATGAAGAGCTGTCAGCCAGTACGTAAAAATGTATTTAATAAGCTTTTGAGGTGTCTTAGTGTGGAAGTGTGTTTGTATCAGATAATAGTTTTTCTCTGTGTTCTAGTATTACTTGTCACAGACTTATCGATGTGGAAGAAAACTTATGAACTGTCAAGATGAGATTTGGTAAGGATGAGAGGAAAGCCCATAAGTCAGGTTGGGGATGTGTCCATTTCAATAATTATAGATCTTTACTTAATACTTTTCACATTATTATTGCAGGTCTGCTTTGAATTGTTTAGATTTATTGCATTTAGAAACGTGTTTACGAAGGGTTTAGAGAGGATTACTATGCCAGTGCCCACCGTCTTGATCCGCCACTTAGATAGAGTATGTTTTTTGGTTTTAAAAAGTTCTGCCATCCTTTTTAAAATATTATGTTTGAAGGTGTTGTACTTCAAGCATGTGGAAGACTTACATTTTCTTAAAATTAAGATGTCCAATGCTACACATTTTTGAGACAGTGGTCTTTTATTTTATCCCCTGCAGAACCAACTTATATCAAACTCTGAAGAGACCTACTTATGTGCATATTTTTTCCCCTTATAAAGAAAATTTGGTTGTTGATTCAGGACCTCTGAAGTTGTTTCGTCAGAGAGGTCTTTTTTGGTGAGTTTTTTTCTAATGTCTTGCAATGTAAATCTCATTAACAGGCACGTTCATCACAGTAGATATCTGTCTGCGTCGCCTGGAAGATGTTGGTACGGTCGACGTACGAGAGACTGTGCGGCGCATCCGTTCCCAGAGGGCATTCTCTATCCAGATGCCTGACCAGTATGTGTTCTGCCACCAAGCTGTTATAGAGCAGGCCCAGAGACAAGGACTCATGAACAGTATAGAGCAGATCGTACTGGAGGATAGTGACAGCGACTAAAATAAAGCTTGTGACAATCACTGTTTATAAAATGTGACTTTTGGAGACGGTTTTGAAACTTAATGGGCGTAAGACTTAAAGGGTCCACGTTTCCCATTTAGGGATGGAAAATATTTTGTTCCCACGTCAAATTTTGTACTATTTCTGCGGGCAGAAAAGCCGCCTGTCTCTCATTTGAGGACAGAAAACTATCGGCGCCCTTCTCAAAATTTGAACTTTTTTGTTCTCCGTGTTGATGACATGTCATGAGTTCAGCACAGGAGCTGAAGACCTTTGCCTTTACGTACAAGCTACAAGTGCACTGGGGGTGTGTTGGCCTCTGTACCTGACAGCTGCTACATGTTTTTTTTCTTCCTGTTTTGTGACACAAAACCACAGAGGTGATTGTCTTTGACGATGCCACCTCTACTTTTACTGTTGATGTAACAAATAGAATGTGTCACAGGTGCTGTTTGACAGAGTTGAGCTTGGGATTTAATGCTAAATTTGATGTTGCTTGTTTTGATATTTGCATCTAGATGTGCTTGTGGGGAGAAAGGGGGGGGGGGATGGGGGTTGCATTAGTTGTTGTTGAAATAGTTGTGGAAATCTGAATGTAATGATGCCTGTGGTTTACTATGAGAGTCATGAGGCTCTAGAGATATTTGTAGTTTTGAGTCATGATCACTTCATGCTCAGACGATAAAGGTGCAGTTGTAAGAGTGTGCTCATGTAATAGGAGTGATAAGAGTTGAAAATTGGTCACATCTGTCTGTGAGTTCAATTGTGTGTATGTGTGTGAATGCACATTTTTGAATGTGTGTGTTGACCTGCAGTCGTGTAGCACCGTCCTGAGGAGTCCTTCCACAAAGTTGTTCCTCTTGATGTTTTTGCCACTGGAGGGGACGCTTTTTCTTACCAATGTTTAATGTTGTTTTCATTTGCATTTCTCTTTAAGCATTTAAATGAACAGTCTGATGTGAAGAAAAGGCAAAGTCCTTTAGAGAAGTAAGACAGAAGTATCATACGTTATTTTCTGTGTTAGCCTCGCTTGTAGAGGTAGGATCCCTTCCCACTCACATTATTTACAGTGCTTTTGAAAGGCATTTTTTAATGCAGATTTCAATTTTTTTCTAAAGGTAATTTATTCAACTTTGCAATGTGAGCAATGACTTCTGAGACAGTGCCTGTTCTTCCAGAGAAGGTTCTTTTCCCCCTTTTGCACTCATTTTCTTTCTGAAAGTGGAATTGAGGATCTGTCATTACTTCATATAGAGGATTCTGTAGTGCCCACTGATTCATTTTTGTTTTGATTTGTAAACATCAGCATTCCTTATTTTATTTGGCTGACCGATCAGTAAGAATGCCATAGACACTTTGTTACTGAATTGCTTTTTATGAATGTTATATATCTGTGTGTGTGTCTTTAAAACAATTTTCTTGCTTGCCTTGAAATTCGGAGAAAAAATTGTTTACAATCTTTATGTGCAACATTTGTTCACCTGGTTATTACTTATATATTATCTGTATGGTAATTCACCTATAAAGTGATAATATTAAATGAAACAAGCTATGTTGCTTTTGTTGTTTTGGGGTTATTTGTGTGGACTTTCAGCTCATTGAAACATCTTTGATTGACCATTGATTTTTTACCTTGTTCTGATATTGTCTTTTTCATGTGCCTATAGATCTGTAGTTATTCTGTATGAATATGAAGTCAAGCCAATCAGATGATTAAAAAATGTATCAGTATGACAGATGACAGCGTATAAACATCTTCAGCACGCTTTACAGCTTTATATTTTTCTACAAGACAAATAAATGCACATGTACTTTACTGAAAAGCTAAAGTTGTCTTTATTAGACTGTCTAAACGTCTCCATAACCCACCGAATTTTTGAGAGATGTTTCCCAGCCTTTTTGAGTTTTTAAATCAAGAGATTGTCTACTTTTAGAAGGAAATGTGTTTGTGTTTGTTCAGGAGATAGGGTTTTGACCTACTTAAGTGTACTGGGTTTCGACCTACTTAAGTGTACTACGGGTAAGATACATATATATGTGTGTGCAAATATGTTAAAGGTTGATAACTTGATGTTTGGGGGTTTTCATTTTCTGTCTGAATCAGGGACTTTTTGTTTTTAAAACAGATGAGTGGCTTTTTTTTTTCATGAGAGGAATACAAAGGAAGACAAGAGTGCAGGCAAATAGAGTCTGCACTTGCCAAGCAACATGTCTCAGAGGTGTCGTCTGTTTTGTTGTTAAATAATACTTTTGGTTTTGGTTTTTGGGACTAATTGAGCACATAATATTTTGGGATTGGGGGGTGGGGGTGGGGGGAAGAAGGGGGTTTGGTTAAAAGGGAGCGTGCAATGGCTGGAATCCCATTCATAATGTCTCTGGTCTAGTTAGGGTAACCCAAATTGCTGAATGCAGCAAACTAAATTTCTGTAGCAGATATTGTCATTCAGGGGACAGTGTCCTGTTGTAGAATTCTCTATTCTTTTTGCAATTTATTGCTTTGTATGTGTAGTTTTGCCCGACATGTCACCAGCAGGCGACACAAGTTATGACTAAAGAGGCAGACTTGATGTTTTTGGCGAGTTCTTTTGACTCCTGATATTTTTAAAGCTATGAGATTAACTTCTAAGACAGCACTTTTTTTTAGCTTCGTGTTCCTGTTGTACAGCAGGAAGTCCCTCATTTTTGTGAGTGTGTGTCACGCTGTGAATATCGGAGAGAAAGAGTGAGAGAGTGAGAGAGGAGAGAGAGGAGAGAGAGAGAGAGAGAGAGAGTCTTGGGATTTTTGTGCATAGTTTTGCTTTGGTTTATTATTTCTTATTTATCTCAGACACAATCAATAAATTTCACATCTCTTACTCTTATATTGGGTTAGGAGTTTTTTTCCAACTGGATCCTTGAGTCATGATCCAAATGATTTTGTTTATAAACTTCAACATAACAATATTTGATATGTGAAATTAAAATGCACGGCCTGATTTCCTTCACTTTTATGCTGTAGAGAGAGTGTAGGAATTTGGTTCCTCTTTTGAAGATGCCCTTTCTTTTATTTTGGAGAAAGAGATGTTGAAATTTTGTACCTGTTTGTGAAATCAGCATTAATGTAGGAATGAAAAAAGGTAATAAATGTCAAGTACAAGATATTGTGGGGTCTTGTAATGATCTTGTTTTTCAGACTGATTAATGCAATAAAACTTATTTTAGATAAAATATTGACACTGGTTTTAATCATTTTTGTTACCCTGGATTTTCACTTGCCTCTCATCCTATACTGGTTGCACTGTTATTTTTGTTCTGTAAAAATAGCCCTTTTCACTGCTTATAGATTGAGGTTTTTTTTTTCTTCAATAAATAACTTAAAAGGCCATAGTTTGTTGTACAGAGCTGCTGTGCTGTGAGCTTTTGTTTTGGAAAGAGCATTGTGGAAGACATATGCACGGCTGTTCTCCTCAGTCAACAACCTGTCAAACCACTGTTAATATTTTTGAGAAACAAAAATTTTGGAAAACATGATAAAGGAATGAACTTACTGGTTCCAGTAAAACTTCAACTTGAACAGAAATTGTGAAAAATCAACTTTTGTAGGCCATAGCTCAGATTCTACTATTTTGAGATCCGAACTTTTTTCTCATATGGCGATAATTATTGTCATGAGAGGATAATGATTTGTAACTCTTTCATTGCCTTCACTTGAAAAATTTAGTGCATCAGTAATTAAAATAGTACATAGAAATTTGATAAATTTATCTTTATCATGAGTACCATATCATTGAGAAAAATAATTAAGTTTCGGTAGATCTTTCTTATAAGACTCCTTATGTTAAAATTCATGATTGGAATTTTGCAGCTGTGCCCAGTTCTAGTCACATATTTATTATGATGCATTCTCAATTTTGTGTCATGTTTCTGTCTGCCGAATCTTGTTCTGCCATCATAACAATGTAATTTGCGCTTTTTATGGAGAATTTTCAGTTTGTCCTCGGTATGAATGATTGATACTAGTCTATGGAATGTGACCAGTTAGCAGGAATGTGGTCTCCCCAGATTTGGTGTGTTGGTGACTAGTTGTTGTTGTTGTCCAGGCCAAAGCTTTGTTTCATTTATTTGAAATCTTTTTCTGATCTTCCACCAACTTTTTTTCATTGAATTTACGCATTTGGTTTGTTTTCAGAACATTTGCGTTTTTCCTGTTTATTCTGTATTAATTCTTTTCTGTTTTAATAATCTGATGTATAAAGTACTGTATGCATGTTCTTAGAATGCTTAGATCAACAATGATTTATGACAGGAGTTTTCTTTACAGTTCTTATGTTAAGACTGTTGCATCTTTCTGGCTGTCATATTACGTATTACCTGTCTATGTCATTTGATTTCTAATTTATTTTATCATTGTCTATCTGTTTCAGGTTTCTTCCATGCTTTATTCAGTTCATATATTTCCCTCTCTTATTGTCCCCTTTCTTTTTTTGTCAATATTTCAAGATCAGGGAGTAAGATGGTTATGATGAAGAAAATACAGCATAGACCAAAATACACTTGATAACTTGGAAATACTCACTAAATGTAGTATAATTGTAAATGGGCAAGTAAGCTGTGTGCCAGAACGATATGTGTGCTGAATTATGACGTTTGCGAATCTTGTGAAAACTTAATGAAAGTTTAAGTGTATGTCTGGAGACAAATACATGACTGTGGACCATATAACACTGCCATAGCTTTGGCTATCAATTATTTTTGTATAACAAACGTACATATATAGATACATGGATATCATGATGAAATAGGCTTTCTGTAGAAGCTTTGGAGAGTCTCAGGTAACCCCATGTTTCAATGGCCTGTGTCCACATGTGCTTTTTATTCACATCTTTTGTACACTGTAAAGACGATATTTTCATACCTAGAGTTCCATCCTTCCTTTCATGTATCAATTGTTCATTTTCCAAACCCAAATTTCCTTCCAGGCATTTACTTTTTAGTCCTATGATTTTGCAGTGTCTTGTATTTTCACAATACATTTCAAAATACAGGTGTTTATACCTTCTGTTCTGATCACTTCTGTTTCCTAACGTGCTCATTTCTCACTTTAGCTTTTAATAAAAAATCTCCTATTCCAAAAAACAATTGTTCTCCTTACTTCCTCTACTCTACCCTTTGGTTCAAAGGGGGGGGGGGGGGGGGCTTGTAATGCCTACTGTTTTCTGTCTATGACTGTTGTTCCTGGTTGTGGCTTCTCCTTTGTTCCTGCTCCTCTTGACCCTCTTTGAGGCAATTTACTTCTCCTACTTTTTTTTTGGTTGTCTCATGCTGCAAGTGCTGTAAAACTCTTACTAAAAACTAAAAATTTGTTGTCTCATTAGTTTTTTCTATGTGTTTCTTTGCTGTAGCTTTTTGTATTGAACATCTTCTTGTTTTCTCGGCCCTTGCCTTTGTTGTGGTATGCCTGGTCTAAACTTTTATCTCTGTGTTGTTGTTTCCACTTCAGTTTTACAATTGTTTGTTTCTGGTTATTGTTTTTGTTATTGAACTCCTCAACACTTGCTCTGGTAGAATCTGCTTCTTTTACTTCTTTTCAATTTTACAAGATATAATGACTGCATTATGTCCCTGGCAAAGTGGTACTGTGATTGTGCTGAGTTGCCTTGAACTCACTCACAGCTGCGAACTCCTGTTTTCTGTTTGCTTCCAGTTCTAAAAACAGCTTCTTTTTGTTTGCTGGAGGTTAGTAGAGGTTTCAACTGACAGGTTCTCTGCCTTTATTGTCTCTCTGTCACTTCTGTCTCTGTTGTCTTGCTATTCCCTTACACTATTGGCTATCATGTCAGTGTACTTTTCTCCAACTGAAACTTACTCAACTGTTTTCGTAGCCTGTCTGTTCTCAGATTTTGTCTACTTGTAAAATGTCCGTCCTCTTTCTCTCAATAGAATATGAATTGCTGTATATTTTGTTGCAATGGTGGCTTGTACAATATTGAAGTTTGTACTTTGAGATGGATGTTTTGAAATTGACTGTCAGAGTGAGCAGCACTTAATGCAAGGTTGCTTGATGAGTAAATGTTTTCTTTTTTGGTGGTATGACCGTAGCTTTGTGCAAATGTACAGTGTAAGCCTCTAATATCGACGCCAAACTTTTGCATTCGCCTTAATCTGACATAAGTAGAAGCAGCACACTTTCACTCATTCAAAATATTACAGAACATTAAAAAATATATTCTTAAATGTGTTTTTTTCCTGTATGTCTTTCTTATATGACTTCAACAACCTGTGTCTGACTCTGCTTGTAGTCTACAGTGTTGTTTAGAAATCACTTCTACTCCCTATTCAGGTAAGGAGGAACATGCCATATGCAGTTCAGAATGGCAAACATTTGATATCAGTGAACTTACTCCTGAAGAGTAAAACTCAATTACTCAGCAAGTGAATTTAATGACCTTGGATTTGCTCAAAATTATTCTCTTTCTTTTTCTGTTCTCTGATCCGTAATATTTCTGATTTCCAAGCATTAATGATGCTACAGTCTTTATGTTAGGATTGCACTGTACTTTGCATTGGAGCTTGGTGGTATTTAATTCTTATTACATATATAATGTTTGATTGTACATATCTCTCTATTTATATTTTCCACTGAGATGCTTGTGTCCTTGTTGATTTATTGATTTATCTTGTCTCTTTATGTACTTACATTTAACTTGAATGTGTCTCACGGTGTACAATGATGTTGTCATGTATTTTATACACGCAAATATTCATGTTGTGTCTCTCTGCTATTGTGTTTTGCAAATAGGGCACTAACTGTTTTTTATGTTTTTTTCCTACCTTGTCACAAGACTTTGTCCTTAACCCTATCCGTACGTCATGTTTTACTGTCGTATCCATACGACGTGGGGAACTCTGTGCCACCACTTTCCAAAGAGAAAATTTACTCGTTAATCCGATCCTTATTCTTTGCATAGCAGTCTGTCAAAATGATTTTTTGAGAAATACTGAAAGTTTCAAAGAGATCTTCACTCTAGAAGTATTCTAAAACGTGAAGAATACAACCTTGGGGGTACAAAATGACCCCAGGGCGTACGGATAGGGTTAATAGCATGTACCTTGCTATTTGTCTCAGATTTCAAGTCAATGGCAAGTAGAAGAAATGTGGACGAGTGGTGGAGATTGTTCTGGAAAGTTCTATAATGCAGTATTGATAACAAACATTTTTGAATGGGCACAGAAGCAAAATAATTTTTTCATTTGATTTCTGAAAACTTAATGTTCTTTGGCATATTTTCCATATTTGGTTAAATATGGATCAGTGTTGGGAAATTCTTCACTTTGTTGTAGCTGAGATGTACTGTGCAAATTTAAACTTTCAAACAGTTCATCTGGCTTGTTCATATTTTGAATCTGTGAGGCATGCCCATTTAACTGACAAATTCAAATTCTATTGAATCTATCTGCTACTTAACACAATTTGTGGTGTAATGGTTTGGCTATTCGCCTCACTGACAAAAGATGTGGGTTAAAGTCCGGTGTGGGGAGTTTATTTCATTATCTTTGTCTGTCTACATCCCCACTCAGCTAGGGGTGGTTCTGACAGAGTTGAAGCCGTTCAACCCGTCACTGATCTAAACTGTGTTGATGAGGGTGTAAGATATTTACAGTTGCAATCAATGTTCTACTGAAAACAATATTTGGGCATGGTGGTGTCAATGTGCAGTATGTCTTGTTCATAACCTGACTTGGTTCATATGTACGAAATTCCAAAGGAGTGGTGAAATCGATTTCCTATTTTCCTTGTGAAATAAGTTAAGAAATTACAACACCTTTAAAATATAAAACAGGTCTCATAAGGGGTTGTGGGTGGTTGGAGGGAGCCACAGATAGGTCCTACTTCTTCACTTTCCCTTTGTAGTTTCTGTCTGTCTTACTTTTTCCCAGCACTAAAATGACCGTTATTGTGTCGATGTGCTTCTATTTTTACAATGATTTGATTGCGCAAAAAAAGTTACCATGTTCAAAACAGCCACTTGCAGAGTTGTTTGTAAAAACCCTACTGTTGGCTCCCCCAGTGAACCTCTTGGATAGCTGGTCTGTGCTGAATTCGAGTTCTTTTTCGAGGCCTTGACAAACCCTGGCTCTGTTGATAGACGTAGAAAGCGTAGACTGCCAAGTTTCCGGTGCATCATCAAATATCAAGCAAGCACTCGTCAATGATGTTGAGCTTTTGAAATATTGACAAAATCCACAGTGCAAGAATAGCTGTAAGATACCTTTACAAAAGAAGATGTTTAAGTGCCTCGTGGTAACAAAAGCAACACAGTGTGCGGATTTATAAGAACTATCAAAAACAAAACAAAGCAAACAAAAACAACACACACACAGAAGAAAGTGCCTCCTGACATATGCGGGTCCCGTGTTGTGAGTAATATCGCGTCACTGTGGGTGTGGCAGAGGTTTTCATACGATGACCTGTGTATTTCCCCACAATATACCGGCCGTGGCTTCTACTACTTCTTGCGTACGGCAGTTTTGTTTCCATTGAAATATCCCGCTTCTATGTGAAATTCTGTTTGCCCAACAGCGCCTTCTTCAAGCTATCTGTTCTGTGACTGGCGTCTGTGGTGTAGCGGGTAGGCGCTTCGCTGTCGCACGCAGGCTTGATTTCCGAGTGGGGAGAAATTATTTATTGAGTATCTCGATTTTTCTACTGGGATGTTGTACCCCTCTCATCACGGGTTAGCCCTGATAGGCAGGGTAGGAAACCCATCTCCTAAATTATCTAAAGTGTGTCAATAAGGGCGTAAAATTGCCTACATGAAAAAAAAGAGCTATCTGTGAAAGCCAATGGAATTAAATTGTGTTCCTGCCACCAAGAAAGACCTTGTGGCTTCTGGTAGCATGTGAACCCGCCACCTTTGTACAGTTCTGGTGTTGTTATGCTGGGGATTATAGCTACACGTGTAAAATGCTGTCCATAAACACTTGTGTTGTATTTGTGGTTCTATTAAATATTTCTTGTCTATAACGATGACACCTTGTTTGGTAGAGTTTGTGTTTGACAAAGTGTTTATCACCTCAGACTGTCTGTCTGTCTGTCTGCCTGTCTGTCTGTCTGTCTGTCTGTCTGAATATCAGTCTGTCAGTTCCGCCCCCCCCCCCCCCCTTTCTCTCTTTGTCTCTCACTCATGCACACATGCGCGCACGCATATACACACACACACACACACACACACACACACACACACACACACACACACACACACCTACACACACACACATACACACATACAAACGCACAGACACATGCACACACGCGCAATGTGTATAACAAACAAAACAAAAACAAAACAAAGAGCAGGTGTGCTATGCTCTCTTCAAGCAAAATGTTTATTGTGGTGAACATGTCGTGAATACTTACAACAAGATGACATATTCTCTCAACTGCTTGCACCCCTAACGTTACATCAGCATTTTAAACGTCCAATTAGTGTTGTTTTGTTTACTAAATATGGCGAGGTATACACACTGCTGTATTTTAGTGGATTAGGCTTATGAGCAGATGAAATCCCGTAGTACAGAACATTTGTATAGTTAATAGAGCGTAGAAGGGAGGGGCGCTTGTGAATATAGAGGTTCAAGTTCAAGGTGTGTCGTGTGTGTGTGTGTGTGTGTGTGTGTGTGTGTGTGTGTGTGTGTGCGCGCGCGTGCGAGAGAGATAGAGAGAGAGAGACAGACAGACAGACAGACAGACAGACAGGCAGAGACAAAGAGAAGCAAGAGACAGGCAGGCAGAGACACTGGACAGAGAGAGTTTGAGCATTAGCAAGAAATTGGCAAAGTACGATATATATGTGTGTACGTGTGTTTGCAGAATTCGCTGTGTGTGTGTGTTTGTGTGTGTGTGTGTGTGTGTGTGTGTGTGTGTGTGTGTGTGTGTGTGTGTGTGTGAGAGAGAGAGAGAGCGAGAGAGAGAGAGAGAGAGAAAGAGAGAGATAGAGAGAGAGGCTGAGCTACAATGTTTCTGTCGTGTCAGTGGGACGTGGGGGAAGGCGTAGTTGGCGACTAAGCAGGAAGAAGAAAAATTGTTTGATTGTGCATGTTATTCAGTATTCAGTCGAATTTGAGAGGTTCAGGATGCGTATGACAAGATTGACTTTAACCATACCGCTCTCTGGCTCTGAGAAGCTAGAGGAGATATTGAGGTTGAAGTTGAAGTATCTCAATCGTAAAACATTTAAGAAATTAAGTTCAGCAATTTTTTGCTTCCTTTTTTTGCTCCCATTTATTCCGCGGCCTGGGCACTTCGAAGTGACTCACGGTGGTGCTAGGAATTATGCAGATCGACATAACCAATCCCTCTGCATGCAGACTCAAAACGAATGGAATTATAAGAAGAAGAATATGCATGAAAGTTATTGACAGTCAAGGACAGGCACCCTTTGTCGTAGACAGATGCATCATTGATGTCAATAACCTCCCTAAATTATAAGGATGGTTGCACCGTTAAATTGAAGCTTGTTTTTAATAACTGGAAGGTGTGTGCGTGTTTTGGCCATATACGTGGAGGCTTACTCAGAGGTATGTGTCTGCATGTATCGTACACCTATGTCTCTTTTATGTTTGTTCCTTAGGAACAAAAAAATAATTAATTGATTAATAAAAATGAGAGGTTTACATAAGAAACGTTAAAGATCTACTGAAAAAAAATGTTAAGGGCTGATTTTTGCACGGAAATACCCAGAGAAGAAAGTTTCTCTACTACAAGTCGACAAGATCCAGAAGAACTGGCCAAATGCCCAGCACTGCATACAGAACAGCATCTACATCACACACACACACACACACACACACACACACACACACACACACACACATACACACACACACACACACAAACATAAACATACACTCACAAACACACAAGCACACACACGCACCCACATACACACTGATGATCTGGCGATACAGCAAACTGATAGTCAAATCTCTTCCTCACGGTGTTCGACATTCATCTGGCCAATTGTACACAATAATAATATACTTGTACTCCTGTGCCGAGGCAAGTGATACGTACAGTTCGTGAACAGATACATTGTATTGTCTAAAACATGCATTGCTGGTGGATTTTTACTCCGAGAAAGACAAGAACATATAAATAACGGAGGGTGAAGATTTGTGATAATACAAGAAAGGCAAGTTCTATGGATAAAAGTTAGAACGTGATGATACCGTGATATTGTCACTGTCAAATTTTCTGTTTACTCAGATATTTGTAAAAACATCTTTCCAGTTCCGTTGCTGAAACCTTACAGTACAGAAAAAGCATGATTAGGCAGTCCTTTTCATAAAGGTTTGGCATTATAGAATATGCACATTAAGTGGTTTTTACCGCTGAGAAGTTTTCTCCTGGTAAAAACAATGGTTTTCGCTGAAGAATTCAAAAGGCGTGGGTAAAAATTGCATACTGTGATATAAATCTACTTTGATGTCAGAATTACCCAAAGAACTTTTCTTCTCGTTCGGATTTTGACGTGGAATGATATCACGGTATGGCACTCGATTTTACAACATCAAATTGTTGGCACATTCGATAAGAAGTTAAAAAAAAAGAAAGAAATGTTGATGTTCTGAGTCCGAATTTAGTCTTTGTATCAACAGAATAGAATGTCAAAACATATTTATATTTTTGGCTTGATGGAATTACAAGTACAACAATATTTAACTCATTTATTTAAGATATATAATATTTTAAGGTCAAGTAAAAAAAAAAGAAAGAAAAGAAACCTGGTCCTATCCCGAATCTACAGGGTAAGTCCCCAACTTGTTAGAATCCTTTCTTCTTTCGGGACAAAACATTCAATTGCTCATTATATAAATTACTGTAATTATACTAGATATACACACACACTTATAAATATATATA